GAACTGCATCCGGATGGGGATGGACCTGAGAAGGGCCGCGATGGCGGCCATCAATTTTGTGAATACCCTGGGGGCCGATGAGAGGCCGAATGGAAGAGCCCTGTACTGATAATGCTGGCTCAGGAAACAGAAGCGGAGAAACCTGCGGTGGGCGGGGAGGATGGGTACATGGAGATATGCCTCCGTCAGGTCGATTGACGAGAGGTAGTCTCCAAGTCTGATGCCCTCCAAGATGGTCTGGAGGGACTGCATCTTGAATCGCCGGTACACTATCCGGCGGTTCAGGGATTTGAGATCTAGTATCGCTCGCCATCCCCCCGAAGACTTCCGGATAACGAACAAGCGTGAATAGAAGCCTTGTCCGAGCTGCTCCTGGGGCACCGGCTCGATGGCTCGGATGACCAACAAGTGACGAATGGCTGATGCCACCAGGAGCCGGGAGGATCTGTTCCGGGAGACGGGACAGCGAAGAAATCTCTCTGGGGGGGGTGGAGAGGAATTCGAGAGAGAGGCCAGAGCTGATGGTCTCCCTGACCCAGGTGTCCGACGAGGTAGCTGCCCACTGGCTGGCGAAGGAAGCCAGGCGGCCTCCAATGGGAAGCTGGGCCAAGCCGTCAGCGTGATCTACGGAACCCCCGCCCCCTGCTCCCTCGAAAGGGCCGTCTGGACTGACCTCTAGGGGGAGGACTTTGGCGGTCCTGGGGTCTAAATTGCCTAGGTGGGGGAACCGTTGGCGACGGCTCCCAGAGAAACCCCCGTCTGAAGGTCTGAAAGGACGGAAATTGGATTGAGACCTGAAGTCGGAACGCCGAGACAAGCTGGGCAGAATACGGCGTTTGTCCTTGGACTCTATGAGGAGAGGCTCCAGAGGGGCTCCAAAGAGCTTAGGGCCTTCGAAGGGGGAAGATGCTAGACGCCATTTAGATTTGGCGTCGGCTTGCCATTGGCGAAGCCAGAGTAGACGCCGGGCAGCTATGGAAGAGCCAATGGCCTTAGCAGCGAAGCGGGAAGAATTTAAAGTTGCATCCGCTGAAAAATCTAGGGCTGTAATGATTTTGCTTATGTCCTGCTGGGCCCTTAAATCGGAGACAGGGAGCCTGGCCTGGAGTTGGCGGAGCCACAAAATTGGGGCCCGGTTAAAAAAGGAGGCGGCCAAGGAGGCCTTGACTGACCAGGCAGTGGCCTGGTGAGATCTAACAAGGGAATGTTCCAGGCGCCTATCTTCCGGGCGTAGGACTTCCTCAGGTGGCCCTGTCAAATTAGTGGGGGCAGATAGTTCTGCCACAGGCTGGCCCACAGAAGGGACCTGCAGGAGAGAAGATAATTCAGGAGCCAAATTATATAAACGTCTGTCTAAGACATTGGGACTGGGGCCAGACGCCGGGGCCGCCCATTGGCGTTGTAAAACATCCCGAAAAATCTTGGGGCCCGGATTTCTTCAGATTCAATGGTAGGTACTTCAAAGAGGGGTATAGATGAGGAAGGACCCTCCCCCGTGTTGACAGATGAGGCCTGAGAAGAGCCCAAACCAGTAATGGCCTTGGCCTTGTGGAGTAGGGAACGAAAGAGCTGGGGCTTAAAGAGCCCCACAAATGCTGGTTGGTCGGGGCCTAAGTCTTCGTCCTCAGACAAATCCTGATCCATAGGATCAGGGGCGGATATGGATTCCTTATCAGAATGATCAGTGGACTCTGCATGGGCAGGGGACTCAGGACCCTGAGGGGCTGCTTCTGCTACAGAGAGAATAGAGCCCTCAACATCCACCTGTGAAAAAGAATGGCTGGACACCCATGAAGAGGTCCTCTGCATTTCTTCCCTAACCCCCATCCTAATGGCCTCTCGGATAAGGGAAGCCAGGTTTGGAGCTATTTGGGGCTCAGGGGCCGGGGCAGGGGGAGCCAAGGGTGTGGAAACCTGTACAGGAATCCCCTGGGGCTGCGAAGGGGCAGAAGAAACCTCAGGTTGGGGCCCAAATAAGGCTGCGTTAACTTCCTTCAAACCTTCAGGCAAGGGAGAGTCCCTATCTGGTGATAAGGCAGGGGAGAGAGCTTGCCCTGGGTTATCTACCCCCTGCGGCTGGGCAGGGGAAGCAGCAGGTTCTGGGCCTGTGGGAGGAGGTACAGTGCTAGCTGAAGGTGTCACCACCCTAGAGGGATGGGGGCTAAGAGGTACATTCTCCTGTAAGGAAGCTGCTTGAATGGCCTTCTGGATGGCCTTTTCAATAGCCTTGTGGCGCTTGAGCTCTTCCTTTGACATAGCTGCAGATTGGGAGGGCTTGGGCCCTTGGAAGTATGGTGGGTCTTCCTGCTTCTCTTAGCAGGCACCGGGTCAGAGGAGCTGAATTCCTCCTGTTGTGGGGGGTGCTTGGATGTCCTGGCAGGCCTTTGGGAAGCCATCTGAAGGGCCTGTAATTCCTTTTATTAGAAGAATAGGCCTCCAATAGTGCTGTAATAAAGGGCAAGGTAGAGAATTAAGGCAGGCCTGAAGTTCTGGCTAGGCCTCTAATGCCATGAGGCTGTTCCAAAATGGCCACCGAATTCTAAAATGGCTGCCGGAACTTAATTTGGCCCCAGGAGAAACAAAAACGTTTAAAAAGGGGAACAAACTCCCCCCCCCTTACTCACAAGCAATTCCAGGAGCCTGGGAGAAGATCAGGCTATCTGATCCACCCACGGAGCAAGGGCTGTGGATTCAAGCCGCTCCGCCGCTGCGCTGTCCCAAACGAGCCGAAGGAAGGCTCTGATGTCAATCCAGCACTCTGCAAGCTCGTTGTTGTCTGAGGCTTTTCCAGCAGCAGCAGTATTACAGCTATCAGATCCCAGATAGCTGGCAGAGATACCTCAGCCTGGCCAGGCAAGAGGTTCCAGCCACGAAGGCTGCAGTGGTAGAGGGAATAGCCCTCCACGCAGAAGTGAGGACCAGGCTCAACCAGCCGGGAACCAGCAGGCCTCACAGCCAAAAGAGTTTTCTTTTGGCCTCCAGCGGTCTCGGGTGCGAACCCCTTCGCGCTGGGAGCTCAACCAAGAGGTCTGGGAGCTAGAAATAACTGGAGGCAAAAGGGAAATTTTTGCCAGAGCAAGGCTCAAACGTGCCTTTCTCAACCGGATTGAGTCAGAAAGCTGGGAAGCAGGACAAAGGGGAGGAGCTTCTCAGCTATGCAGACTCAATCAATAACTGGATCATGGCATTACCCGATCCTGACCACTGGAGCCGGGATCAACGAGAAGGCATCCATCTCTCGCGAGCAACTGAATCTGTCTGCCTGCCTGCCTGCCTGCCTGCCTGCCTTGTACCTTCAATTGGGTAAGTGGCTGGGTTTTTTTTCTTTATGCTTTTAAAAAAATTAATTTTAGGAAATTTTATTGTTTTTAGGAAATTTATTTTTTTTGGAAATGTTATTGTTTTTAGGAAATGTTTTTTTTTAATGTTATTGTTTTTAGGAATTTTTTTTTTTTTTAAGAAATAGAGCCACATAAAATTTAGGAAATTTTAGCTGCTTTTATATGTTCAGATTTGTGCAAGCTTTGTGAGATTATGTGTGTTTATGTGGTGATTCACACTCACTACAGAAACACAAAATCTCACAAAGCCACATGACCTCGAAGCCCCTGCCCAGTCACATGGCCATCAAGCCACACCCACCATCACATGGCCATCAAGCCACACCCACAAAATAAGCCACACCCATAGAACCGGTAGTAAAAAAAAATTGGAGCCCACACCTGGTCCAGGCAGCTATGAAGGCAAACAAAATTCTGGGATGTATCACTAGAGGGATTCACCAGCAGGAAAAAGGAAGTTTGAATCCTGCTATAAAGGACTTTAGTCAGACCCCATTTAGAATACTCTGTTCAGTTCTGGTGATTCACTTAAAAATAAGATTGAGTGAGTCCAGAGACGGGCAACAAAAATGGTGTAAGGTTTGAGGGACAAAACATATCAGGAGAGACTGGAGGAACTGAATATGTACAGCCTGGAGCAGCGGTCCCCAACCCCTGGGTCACAGCCCAGAACCAGGCTATGGCCTGTTTGGAACCAGACCGTTGCAAGCAGAGGGTGAGTGCACGACGCAGCTCCATTTGCACAAGCTGCAAATGGAGCTGCACGAGTGCACTTACCCGCTGCTCACACAAAAACCATGTTCTTTCTTCCTCTTCACCGCCTGTCTGCAAAGCCGGAAAGGTTGGGGACCACTGGCCTAGAGGACAGAAAGAAAAGTTGGGGGGCATGATTGAAGCCTTTAAATGTGTTAAGGATTTGAATAAGTTCTAGAGGGCAGTATTTTCAATATTAAGCTAAAATCAAGAACATGGGGGCATAACTTCAAATTGACAGGAAGTTCAAAAGTAGTATTTGATAGTATTACTTCATAAAAAGAGTAATGGAAGCTTGGAACCAATTTCCAGCAGAAGTAGTGGGTCTATCATCAGTATCTGAGTTTAAACATGCTTCCATCATCCAACAAAAAATTAAAAACAAATTAAAAACAAAACACAAACAAGGAAAAAAACTCCAAGTGCAGACACAATGAGCCATTAGGTCTTTTTCTGCTGTCAGTTTTCTATGTTTCTCTGTACTTATGGACATTACTTACAAAACTGAAAGGATGCTTTAGACTCCACTACAATATGCCCTTGATAACCTGCAATGGTCTCACTTCTGTCCAAGCTGGGAGGAAAATGAATTGTTTGCTTATATCCAAATTACCAATTTTTTTAGAACTTGTTTATTTGGTCATTGTTTAAGTTTTAGTGATCAAATTCAGGTTATAGGCATATAAATATCATCTAATAATATCCACTTTATAAGCTTAAGGAAGCTAATAAAATTGTACTTTCTGCACTTACTGTCTGAATTTCACACCCTATTTTGTGAAAAAAAATGCCCTTTGATAGACTAAATATTTTTGATTTTTGGTTTCCATAAAGACCTAATGGAAAAAAACTTTCAACTAATTTCCTCTTCAGCATAACTTTCATATAAGTCACTACTGGGCTCACCAGTTAATGCTGCTGATGTGTAGGATCCAGCTGCTAACTGTTTGATCTTGTGCTGACTGGTAAAATAACTAACTAGATGAAATGCACTTCTTTCTTCTGTGCCTCCTAATCCCAGTTGTCCTTCACTGTTACCCCCAGTGGCATACAGGTTCCTTTTTTCTGTGTAGAAAAAAGCACAACCAAAATAAGCACACTTCATTTGAAGCACCAGGGGAAAAAATAATTCAAATAAAGAACATATTACACAGTCTCACATTGTCTTTAAGACTAATCACAACTGTTTAATGGTTGCCTGCAGAAGTCACTGTCTACAGTTTAACTCTTTTTAAAGAATTACTGACTACATAGTGGAATTCGATTATGCAAACTAGAATCAAAGAATCAGAAGGGACCATTTAAGCCACAGGCCCAGCACTCAGTTCAGTGCAGAAATCTAAATTAAAATATTCCAGAGAAAGGCTATCTCAAGGCTAAGGACTATAAAGTGGCTGTCTAACTATTGTAACCCATTCGAAACAGGGGAACCTATTACTCCTCTGGATCATGCATCAGTTACAAAACTTTCCTCATGTCTGGAACCTAGATTTTTAAAACAGGAGTAATTTCCTTCATTGCATTTCCTTCATTCCCAATTGGGAGGTGGAGAAAGGAAATATGTTTGGAATTTTAAAAAGCTTAAAACATAAAGATTCAATCAATAATTGTTTCATTCTACTTGTAAATATGAATATATGTTATCTAAAATCAGAAATGAGGTATGTACGAGTTAGGGTTAGCTATGATTAGCCTGAGAATTCAGGGCTAAGATTTTTAAAGGTGATATGGCTCTCCCTCTGGCTCAGTTCACTATATTAACAACTAATAAATGGAAACCTAGAAAAATGGAAGAATTCCCTTCCTGTCCTCATCTATTATTCATACCAGATACTGCTTTTTATCTTTTTTTCCCCTATTGGATGTTGTAAAGCATGGTTTAGGTTTCACTTATTGGCTTATTTCATTTTAAGGGTCATAAAAGATCTGTACCCTGAAAGACACTCTATTTTCTTTGCATGACAATGAAGGGTATTTTTCTTTAAAAAAAATAGTTACATAACTCATGAGTAATATTTAAAATTTCAATCTCATTTTAATTTCATTCTCTTGCAATTCTATATCCGACATTCATAATATTACATGCTCCTCATTATAGGACACATACTAATCATTGTATACACCATCTTTACTGAACAGATGTAATTTTATCACACAAATAAGCTTTTACTACAAAAAATTACCAGCAACAAAAAATAAAATTAATTCCAACACAAATATAAATTGTCTTGTCCACTACGTTTGAAAAGAATTAAAAAAATATTCTTAAATAATTAGCATCAGTTAACAATGGCAAATTTGGCTTCAGTTCCAGTATCTCTTGCCCTCTTAACAAGTCAGCACTAAGTTTAGTGCTGATACAGTATTTATATTTTAAAACATGCATTTCCTATCCTCCTGGATAAGTTGCAATTCTATAAAATGACACGTTAACTTTTATTTCCACCTATGTATCAGCACTCAGGATATAAATTGAAGGTACAAATACTTCATTTAAGTTATTACAATATATGGAAATATGTCAGAGATGTAACAGGTTAATTAGCAATTAGAGCTAATTAGCATTAAAATTCAAACTAAACTTAATTATCCATAAATGTGTTCAAATACTCATCTACAAATGCTAATGATGGCCATGAAATTAATTGACAGAAAATATCTTTCTCACATGCAACTTGATTCTCTCAATCTCATAAAATAAATTTATATCAAATGCCAAATGCCAAATTGAGCATGGTACATGTATATAATAATTCTATAATATTTAGAATTATTGATTTTACAATGCTTAAAACTTTCAGATTTCTCTAATTTGTCTTTATTAAAAGCATTGATAGGAATGCATCTGTTAAAAACGATTTCCATTTTTCAGAAAGATGAAAACCTATAATTTGGACATACAACTTTTTTTAAAAAAAGAATAGCTGAATTCCTAAATCTCCAGCAAATTATTTATATTTTGATTCACATGTTGGTTACTGCAAGCAAAATCCTATTCATTGGATTCATTCATTGTCAAATCCTAAAAAAAAAGTTTCTGGCCAAAATGTACTTGGAAACTGATTCAGTGACCTTTATGGCCCATTATTTAATTATAGAAATTAGGGATGTGCAATAAATTGGATTATTGGGAGAAAAGGTGATTTGGAATGTGCATAGGCAGGCATTTGTTGGCAATTCGTTCAAGAAGCGACTTTATGCCCACACATGATCCAAATCAGTTTCTCTTCCAAATATGTTTCATTGCACAGCTATAGCAGCTATTGCTTGTGTAAAGCCCACATTTGGGCCCAGTTTCCCATTGATGTAAGGCTGAGAAAAGCTTATCTAATTAAGGTCATAATCTTTTTTCTTTGGGTAACTAAAATTCTGATAAATCATAAATCATAGAACAAACTTATAGTCTTACAAGAAAATAAGAAAAAAAATGGCCAAATTCATATCCAATTCAGAAAACTCTCTTAATGTGAAGGCTTTTATCATCTTAACAAGGACATTAGAACAGAGAAAAGACAAGCTTCTCTTGGATGGAAATTCCAGCCTTTTGATGCTGTTACCAAAGAATGCCTCTGCCTAAGTCCAATATATACTATATCAAGAAGTTGCTACCAGACCGATGGACCATTAGATTCAGTATAAAATAGCTTTATAATCTAATTACATTATATTCTATGTTACTGTTTACCAAAGCAGAAAGCTTCTACAGGAAAATCTCTTTGGCATATGAACAAATAAATTACATACCTGTATAGATCAAAGTATGATTTCTCCCACAAGCAGCTAGTTTCACTTTTTCAGGTTTTAGAACTATGGATTAAGGACACAAAAGGTTATTATTATTGTTGTTGTTTTAATAATTATAAAATGAATTGTGAACTTTGCTAAGTATCCAAATTTATAAGGAGATTAATTTTCCAATCATTATTTATCTCAGCATTTCAGAGCACATCATGAGTAAACTGGATTTTCTATTGAAGTTAGGTCTGAATCATAAAAATAATTTAGCAAAACTGCAATACTCTAAGCCAGTGATGGCTAACCTTTTTGCCATTGTGTGCCAGGATCGGGGGGGGGGGGTCGCGCACACGTGCCCACACCCATAATTCTATGCATCCTACACCTGTGCATGCGCGCGTGACTCCCCCCATGCTCCTGGCACACGATGGCACAGTAGGCCCGTTTTTTGCTCTCCCCAGCCTCCAGAGCCTTCCTCACCACCCAACGAGGCCCTCTGGAGGCAGGAAACAGCCTGTTTCCCTACTTCTGGTGGGCCCAGAAGGGCCGAAAATCAGTTGGCCGGTGCACAGATGTGCGCCGGAGCTGAGCTTGTGTGCCCACCGATATGGCTACATGTACCACCTGTGGCACGCATGCCATAGGTTCGCCATCACGGCTCTAAGCATTTATTTGAAAATTACTGAATACAGCACAGCCTATTTCTACATAAATACACAGAAGAATTCCTATAAACAATACTGAATAGGGAGACTTCAATTCTTAATGCATCTAAAAGTATTTCATATTGGAAACTAGAAAGCTCAGATCTATTCTAAAACCTGACACATAAGTTAAAGACAAACCTTTCACACAAGTTGGCTTGCTGACAGTATTCTTTGTTCCAAGGCCTAGTTGTCCCCAGTTGTTGCTTCCAAACATGTACAGCTTACCATTTTCTGCAGAATACAGACATTAAAGAAAATAATTGATTGCCAATGCATTTGTGTTAAAATATACCCAATATTTTCAATTTAGTTAGACACAACTGTAAAAAGAGACATAATAACCATGTAATAAAGTAAGTCTGCAAAATGTTAAGTGTGTGTGTGTGTGTGCAGTTAATATCTCGGGTTTCTTCCCGTGTAATTGTAAACATATCCCTAAAAGGGTAGTAGCGACGTTTCGACGAAATCACATTCGTCATCTTCTGGCTAAAGTTCTCGGTTTGGTGCTTATGGGCAAACTGTGTGAACGTCACACAGTTTGCCCATAAGCACCAAACCGAGAACTTTAGCCAGAAGATGACGAATGTGATTTCGTCGAAATGTCGCTACTACCCTTTTAGGGATATGTTTACAATTACACGGGAAGAAACATGAGATATTAACTGTACACACATATATACCCGTGAAAACTTACATAAACATACATATATACATATACACATACACATACACATACACACACATACATACATACATACATACATATATATATATATATTTTTTTAATTTTTTTTTTCTCAGGTTTTCGCGGGTGTTTGTATGTAGGTCTTTGGTTATTCGGGTCTTCTCCCACATAAACTTGGAAGTGTCTTGGCAACGTTTCGACGAAGTCTCATTCGTCATCTTCAGGCTGGTGTTCTCGGCTTCGTGCTTCCAGGAGCAATGTGAGATTGCAGCTGTCTCTTCCTTTTAACTGCTAGTGGGGGTGTGAGCTGATTGGGTGGGAACTTGGCTGTGTTCTGATTGGGTGGAGGTGTGTTCTGATTGGTTAGGGGCTTGGCTGTGCTCTGATTGGATGGGGGGTTGGTTGTGCTCTGATTGGCTGGGGGTGTGTTCTGTTTGGGTGGGGGCTTGGTTGTGCTCAGTTTAGTCTGAGTTGCAGGGGGATTTGAGCTGGTGAGCTGCGTTGTTATTGTTTGGCTTCGTGTTTGTGGCCGTGTGAGCTCTTCATGGTGGGTGTCAGTCTGCTTCATGTATGGATTGGAGGGGTTTAAAGTGGCTAATGATGCAGCTGCGGTCTGGCTTCTGGTCCTTGGTCGTGGCTCATCATCAGTGTGGGTTCGAGTCTGCTTTCTGCGTGGATGTGTGGTGGCTACATCCTGTGTGGCTCTCGTGAGTGTGGGTCTGGTGTCATTTGTCGTGTTAGGGACTCGTTTGTCAATAAGGGCGGGTTTCCAAATGGCTGGTAGGCGGCAGGTATCATCTCGTTTATTCATGCTGTGTGGACGTTTTTCTATCTCGATGGCTTCTCTGGCTTCCCAAAGAGGAACAGACAGCACTACTTAACCTGAAAAAAGACACTAGCATAATAATCCTACCAGCAGACAAGGGAAACGCCACGGTGGTTATGAACACATCTGACTACCAAACCAAATTAACCAACCTACTCCAAGACTCCACATACAAACCCCTAAACACAGATCCCACCACCTACCTGGAAAAAACCACTAGATCCAAAATAAAAGCCTCCCCCATCAGCGAAGAGATCCAGCAAAGAATCATTCCCAGAGAGAAATCATCCAGATGCCCTAAGCTCTATGGTCTCCCCAAGATACACAAAGAAGGAACCCCACTTAGACCCATGGTCAGCTCCATAGGCTCACCTCTACAAAACCTAGCCAAATTTCTCGCCAAACAACTACAGCCCTATGCAGAATCCATCAACTCACATGTAAAAAACTCATTCCAGTTCATAGAGATCATAAAGAAACAAAACTTACAGCCCAGCGACCTACTCGTGAGCTTCGATGTCATATCCCTCTTCACCCAAGTGCCAATCAAAGAAGCCTTAACAGCTATCCAAAACAAATATAACCCCCCCAAGCACATCCTAGATCTGACCAACCACTGCCTATCCAACACATACTTCATCTATAACGGACAAAAATACAAACAAATAGAAGGAGCACCCATTGGATCACCCCTCTCACCTGTCATTGCTAACCTCTACATGGAACACTTTGAAACCCAAGCTCTAGAAAAATCTGATCACAAACCCAAACTCTGGCTCAGATACGTAGACGACACCTTCATAATCTGGCCACATGGGAAAGAAAAACTGGACAACTTCCTCATACACCTCAACAGCCTACACCCCAAAATACAGTTCACCATGGAAACAGAAGCGAACAACCAACTTCCCTTCCTGGATGTCTTAGTCTACAAAAAATCCAATGGCTCCCTAGGACACACCATCTACCAGAAGAAAACACACACAAACCGCTATCTGCATGCACTCTCACACCACCACCCAGCACAGATCAACTCCGTAGCCAAGACACTCATCTCCAGAACAAAACACTTAGCTGACGAACAACACCTAAAAACCGAACTACACACTCTCACTAACGTACTAACATCCAATGGATTCCAAAGAAATAAGATTACCAACCTAATCCAAAAAGAAACCCCCACTAAAATCCAAGACAGAGAACAAGAAAACGGCAAAGCCCTCCTCCCATACATAAAAGGCACCACAGACAGAATCAGCAAGATCCTCCACAAACACAACATCAAGACAGCATTCTGCACAAACCAAAAAATATCCACCACCCTAAGAAACCCCAAAGACAAAATTGAGTTAGAAAATCAAGGAGTATATGAAATCCCATGCACCGCCTGCCCCACCACATACATCGGACAAACCAACAGAAGAATAAGTGCACGCATTGAAGAACACAAGAACTCAGTCAGAAAAGAGGAACCAACTTCTTCCCTGGTCCAACACCTCAAAGCCACAGGACATGATATTGACTTTAAAAAGACCAGAACTATCGCCAAAACTGAACACTTTAACAACAGAATAATCAGAGAAGCCATCGAGATAGAAAAACGTCCACACAGCATGAATAAACGAGATGATACCTCCCGCCTACCAGCCATTTGGAAACCCGCCCTTATTGACAAACGAGTCCCTAACACGACGAATGACACCAGACCCACACTCACGAGAGCCACACAGGATGTAGCCACCACACATCCACGCAGAAAGCAGACTCGAACCCACATTGATGATGAAGCACGACCCCAGACCAGAAGCCAGACCACAGCTGCATCATTAGCCACCTTAAACCCCTCCAATCCATACATGAAGCAGACTGACACCCACCATGAAGAGAGAGCACGGCCACAAACACGAAGCCAAACAACAGCAACACAGCTCACCAGCTCAAATCCCCCTGCAACTCAGACTAAGCTGAGCACAACCAAGCCCCCACCTAAACAGAACACACACCCAGCCAATCAGAGCACAGCCAACCCCCCATCCAATCAGAGCACAGCCAAACCCCCAACCAATCAGAACACACCTCTGCCCAATCAGAACACAACCAAGCTCCCACCCAATCAGTTCACACCCCCACTGGCAGTTAAAAGGAAGAAACAGCTGCGATCACACACATTGCTCCTAGAAGCACAAAGCCGAGAACACCAGCCTGAAGATGACGAATGAGACTTCGTCGAAACGTTGCCAAGAAACCTCCAATTTTACGCGGGAGAAAACCGAATAACCAAAGACCTACATACAAACACCCGTGAAAACCTCAGAAAACACACACACACACACACACATATATATATGCATGTATGTATATATGTATATATATGTATGTATGTATATGCATATGTATATGTATATGTATGTATGTATGTATTTCTCTTTAGCCAGGTTCTTCCTACGTAGCAGGGTGCTTGCTGGCTGCCTGAAAAAAGCCTAGAAACTAGTGGATTATGATTTCACTGAACTAGGGCTGCATAAAAATCTTGGTTTACGTAGGAAGAACCTGGCTAAAGAGAAATACACATAAAGGCCTACGAAAAGAAAACATATATAGAGAATGTTTTCGAAAAGGATTTCACTGGATTTACATAAGAAATTGGTTGATGTTTTAAAATTTAAAGAGAAATACAAATGACAAGCCAACAAAATGACCTGGAGAATTTTTTCCTATTAGTTTACAAAAGAGGCTTCTTATAGCCTTGAAGAACCATATAAAATGGACAACCAAGAAAAGAAATCAAATCCTATGATAGTATTTTAATGAACTAAAGATTAAGACTGTTAGAAATAAAAGGAAAGAATATTTAATTGGCTTTTTTGATCAAGGTTAAAGCAAAAGATATTGTTATTTCTGACAACCCTTTGTGGTCTGTGTTCTGCTGGCATCAGGACTGAAAAGATTATGCTTTATGTTTTTATTTATAAATAAAGGCTGGGATATGCAATGGAGAATTGTAACCTCTTAGAGAGGGTGAACAGTCATTAAATGTGTTTATACTTGTTTTGATGAAGATTGGATAACGATGGAAAGACTCTTCTTTATATATTCCTTTTCTCTTTATTATAGTCTCAGTTTCTTCTGTCTTTTTTCTTTTTCTTTGCACTTTTTATTCTTTTTCTTCTTTTTAAGTTTAAATGTGTTTAGATTTTACTATTATAATTAAAATTCTTAGCAAAACTACACTATATAAAAAAATGAAATGCAGCTGATATGATTTCTAAGTATTAGGGTTATATTAGAATTATATTTAATAAATATTTAATATTTATTAGAATTATATTTAAGTCCACTATAGGAAAGAAAATGCTTTTAGACCTCCTTTGGGCTATAGTGGAAAATATTCTTATATTCTTCAAAGAATCTAGATTCTTTACTTTGCATTATTAACATTTTACAATTGTTTATGTTTTATAAACCTATTTATATAGAGATTTATCAAGTAGCATGTGATAATATAGTTGTCCTTGACTTATGACCATAACTGAACCCAAATTTTCTGTTCCTAAGCAAGACAGTTATTAAGTCCATTTGGCCTCATTTTATGAACTTGCTTGCCACAGTTGTTAAGTGAATCACTGCAATTGCTAAGTTAGTAACAAAGTTGTTAAGTGAATCTGGCTTCCACATTGACTTTACTCATCATGAGGTCACAAAAGATGATCATGTGATCCA